AGAAAAATTAATTTAAATCGGTCAAACCGTTTAGGAGGAGTTCAATGACATACACAGGTACAGCAGAATTATATACCTACTATATAAAGAAGATTATAATACACAGAGACAGGGTCATATCTTCACAGATACATATGTATGCGTAAACCTTGCTTAAATTGATTCTCTCAGAACTCGCGCTTCATGTCAGCAAGATTGCTGATATTTTTAATGTCCCCCATAAAATGAACGGATAACGACATTTCGTTTGCAATCAGAGCTTTAATTCTGCACAGTTAACCGTAGCAGGTTGAATATTTGCTGAGGTTACTTTCAACAATAAGATACACCTGCCTACCCTTCTACGTAAGCTATGGCAGACTCCCCCTCACGCCATGGTGCCCTGTTAGCACGTACAGCCGCCATTTATATTCGTACCTCCAGCATCACATTTTACCTTGATTTATTTTATTTTTCCGCGAATACAAAACACATGGCTGTCAAATAATTAAAATATACCAGGGCTACAGGAGAATGGAGTTTTACGGTATTTTTGTGAAAAATAACAAATATATTTTGTAACCACATTTTGTCACCAGATTTTGCATGTATGTGTTTGAACATAATTGATACATGTACAGGAAACACAAGTCCACATGTATGGTTATATTTTTAGGTTTTTTATTATTCTGTTTGGTGTGTTCTATGTAAATGATACTGATATACAAAGCTATACGCCATGGTCCACATATAACAAACTACGAGTTACCTTATAGGTACTACCTGCTGCATTCAGTACGGCGTGCAGTCAATACATACGTGAAATTTTTGTTCGAATTTTTGGTCTGCCACCGATACCAGCTGTCATTCAACAAAGCATTTGACCCGGTAGTTCGCCGTACGTTTTTGATAGGTTTGCCGAAACGCACCGAACAACACACGGATTGAAAATCAACAACACTTTTGCAGTACCGACTCGTTCCGAGGGAACTTTTTACAGTTTTTTTAAAACATTCAAACTCCATTGAAATATTAATTAATAACCATTTAACAATGAGCTATCCGCACGATTGAATCCGCGCTGTTTAAATGCAGTAGAAAATGTCAGAAAATCTCGAGCGCGTGCCAGGTGAGCAGAAACTTGAAAAGCTTAACTCAATTATAGCCGTTTGGAACGCGTCGGGACGCTTGTGGTCTCACGCTTACTTGCTCAACAACCTCTTTGCGCATTTTTAATGTTCAGGCCATTCGTCTTTATTCTACGTTTCTTTGAGGTATCTTGTCCCAATGTATAATATTAATGTTCTTAAATATTTCACGGCTTTTATTCTTTACAAGTATTTAAAAGATAATTATTTATTTTTGCTTTCTTTTATTTCCTTACTAATGTAATCCTTCTACCAAAATGTTTATTCAATGACGCATGTTGTACTAATGTCCTATGTTATCCAATTAGGTATTAGCTCCCAGAAGGAGCAATTGGGTTCCGTATATTGCGGTTTCAGAGGATTTTTCTCCCATGTGCAATGAGATTGCGAAATGAGCTGCCTACTTACCTTTCGGCGGTTGTATTCCCGAGGGTTCTATAGGACGGGGCTCTCCGGAAAAGACATCGAGAAAGTTTTAGAAGGGCTGACAATACTTGAGTGACATTTCTGTGACATATGTGTATGTAATAGTTTGACTGTAAACTAAATTGTTTAATAAACATTATACGGTAAGTTTTATGATGGATAAAACTTGTTGTAAATGTAGTCTTCAAATGAGGTAAAATTGTTTTATATAAATTCAATAATGGCGATGGCTCAAAATTCCTTCCGAAATCCGAAATAATTTAGTAACACGTGTTTAGTTGTAAACATATGGGAACCTCAATAGTATTGTCTAACTGAACGCAATGTTCACAAACTGCTGAGTGGGGACTACACACTACTGTTCACACTCACTGGTTTCCTCGAGCGTGTCCTTATTTATGCACTGATACACAATAACGTCGTAATATTATGGATGCGTCCGTTCGTTAATCTGTCTTAAGCAAGTGTACTGATCAGTATGTGTTTAACCGAACATTTGGAAAACCAGAGATTGTACTCCATTATTGAAATAAAAGAAGTTTCCTTTCAAATAGAAATTCTTACTTTAATTCGTACTTTCCCTATTGACGTCGAAGCGAACGAATTTTTTGATGCTCTGTGTAAATAGTTATTTTTTATTTGATTTCATGTTTTTGTTTGTGTATTTCATTAAATTTTGTCATTAAATGTAAGTTGTATGTTAAATGTTATCTATATAGAATATAATAATTATTTATTTGCTCAGAATGCAGGTATTTACAATAAGGTGATATTAAATTTAAAACACTAATAAGATATCCTTTTACATTCTAGCATTTTCGCATGCATGCAGCTAAATAATCAGACACAGAGTAATAACATTTGTTTAACAAGAGTGTTGTAAGTTTCTTTTTAAAAATTGTCATTGATTATTTTTATATTGAATTAGGAATGTGGTTAAAAATAGCCGGCGCCATACCAAAATCACTTTTCCTCAGTAGAGCAGTCTTATATCGTAACAAGTTTTGGTATTGTGTACCTGTGCGTAACAAGTTTTGGTATTGAGATCGCAAAGTTATATCATATGTTATAAACTCAAACTCAAAAGCATTTATTTCAATTAAACCATAATTTGGTACTTTTGAAACGTCAACAAATATGAGATATATAATAGTCTGTCAGTCTGTCCGTCAGTGAAGCTAGGCGCTCGTTCCAAAATGTCGATTCGAGTGGAGAAGAACGAGCAAGAAACTCCATTCGTTACTCTTTTAAAAAAAGTCTGTTTTACATTGCTCTGATACATATTCCAATATTGTACACACATGTGAGAATAATGTAAAGACATACCTGAAGCAACATACAAATAACAGAACAACTCAATGGTGTGTTCGACTGACAATGCTACAATGTCTTTCCTATCCTTTGACTTAATACTGTTTCTAACTAATATTAAAGACCCACCGTGTAACATACACTTCCTACTAAAATTACTAATAAATAGTTACTATAGGTAAAGTTATATAGTCATTGTATTCAAATAAAATCTATCAATTCTAATGGAAATTCTGTATCTGAAGCTGGATTGCTGTAGCCTATATCCGTAAATCACCCTGTTACCAGGGAATCAGACATATGCAGAGGTCTCAATCCAAAATAATCAGTACAATCATCGTAACCCTTAGGAACGCTCGTCTCATGATAATTTTAGGAAGAACAGATCGCAAAATGTCATAATAATAAGAATCAATACGAACCCTAGCAGAAGCCATTGAAAAGCGACACAAAGGGAAGGGTCGACATGATAATATAATCGAATGATGGATAAATATATAGTTGTAGTTAGTGGAGGATTATTGGTTACATTCAGGTGTGCTGGTGTATCATTGACGGCTTACCCTGATGAATACAGCGTGGCTCCTGACTGCGGCGGATGTAATTAACGATATTTGCTACGTGTCGACCTCCGTCTGTGTTTGACATCTCGTGTGGAATATGCTATTTTATATTAACTATCTTCAATATAAACTCGCTACTAGTTCATTGTGTTCAGAGGTACTCCAACTCTTTCTGGAACTAATGTTCCATGTCTGAAATATCTTCGATATTCTCAACGCTTCGTTAATATTATTTGGAGATTACTGTGAAGATCAAGAAAAGTGAGTTTGAAGATTAAATTTATTTTTCACATGTCTAATAGTTATGGCATGATTGAATTATTTTAAAATACAAATTGTTAAACTAGCGAATAATTCAAAATTGAATCAGATGTAACATCGTGTTACTAATTTGATTTATAGTCAGAATTTTAATTAGATTCCAGATTTAACAATAACTACAGTCATTTTGTGAAATAATGATACCACATATAATAGTGTAGTGATGCACACAAAAATCGATAAACAATCAGTGTGTGTGTTTTATAAAAAATGTTACAGAAAGTGACAGGATAGCGATAGCGATGACGGCGACAATTTATAAAATAACTTATTACCATAATACATCTATCTGTTTCATTTGTCATTTTCCTTCATTATTACATTTTGTTAGTTATTTTACACACAATTATAAAAGAAAAGTCTCAGATTGTTAAGTAATCGTCAGAACTAAATTATCGGTCAGAAATATTTAATTTCCTGATATCCTTAGTTTACGAGAGTAAAATTATAAACGAGAAGAATCGATCGAGAAATATTGTATTTCCATATCGAATAATTTCGCAACGTCACTATTTAGTACTTGTCATAACGTTGCAACACTGAAATTGTCAAATCTGGAATCGAATCAAAATTCCGAGTATAGAATTTAATACCTACGCAACGATAAGTTGAGTTTTGCTGTATAAGTAATGGAGAACAAAGGTCCCGCAGTCATCGTCCATTATCTGTAGTCCAGAGAGACAGTGGCACAAGCACCGCGCATTATCCTAAAAACAATATTATCTAAATAGGCGAGTTAATGCCTCGGGTAATTTCTTCGTTCATTAATATCTGACAAACTCGGCCGCCTCTGCTAAGCCCCTTGTCTCGCGAGCTCGCCGCGGCGCGACTCCACCTCAAATTGGACTCAATTCTGCTAAACTTAAAGCTCTTAGTTGGAAGTACGTAATCCTCTTTCCGAGCCATTTTCTTAGGAATACATAAAATTAATACCCTACATGGTTTGTAATCGTTTTTAATTATAAACTAATCGCTCGTGTCACCTTAACACCCGGGAGATGGATCATTAAGCTTCAACACAAGTACTGCGAGTCCTCGCCCTTATCTTATTTATGATTAACGACCTGCTAAGGGCCTATTCTTCTCAGAGTAGAACATTCTTTTAAATATAGATACTGTCGGCTAAGTTGTGCTCCCCTAACTCGCTACTTATAGCCATTTAGATAAAAATTATAAAAAAAACGGATTTCGACTACAAACCGACGTTTGGATTATAGTACACGTGTTCATAGGAGCTACAACAGTCACTTACCGAGAATGCTTTGAGGAACACGAGGCATTGTATGATGCCCTCCATGGTATCTCCTGTGAGGCAGAAGGTGCCTGTCAGGTGGCGTCCCTTCTTATCGCCTATAGCGGGTGCGGCGGCGAGGCTCGCGTGAACCAGCGCGCCGCGCGGGCGGGCGTCCCTGGTCGCCCCGAGCACGCCCGGCAGCGGAGCGCCTTCCATCAGCCTCGCCAGCGGGTCCATGCCCGCTAAGCTAACACACCATTGCACCGGCTTCACTCACTAATCACTTATTCACAAAATTCACTTCGATGGTATTTCATGTAACGTCACGGAACTGTAAAGTTAGCTTAATATGGTTAAAATTATCCTAATTCATGTTTTGTAACTATGTTCAAAGTACCAGGTCATCAGCATAACGAGGGAATGTTTACGGACGTGTGATAACGTCAATACGCGACGATACGGACATGACCGAGGGAGTAATGGTACGGTTGACACTGCAGAGGCTCTTGCACTCCTCACACTGACACTTCTGGTGCTCGGGATTCCAGCACTCACTATTTAAGAGTAACGTGACGAACGTGTAGATCAATACAGCCATTCCAACTATTATGTATACTTCCATGCTGCACTCACACTATTTGGCACACTATTTGGCACGAGTATCACCTGACGAGGAGAATGTTATTAGGTTGTATTGTGACTCCACGTGTTCACTCAAACATCAGTGGTGTACGGTGTTGCCGCGGCGGTAACATTAGTGGCGCAAATAAATGTAGCGAAACGGAATTTATTCATAAAATCGAGTATGGGGCAACTCGTTTATCATTTTCAATAGCATTTATAGAAAACAAACGGCGCGCGGTGTGTTGCGGCGCCCGGCACGCGGCAGTGTCGGCGTCCAGCCAGCGCTTGTGTTGGCGCTCCGATGATTTACATACGACACGTGGCGCCGCGGTAACATTTAAATAGAATCATTCGAAACATCGGTAACCGTTTTGCATACAAAAACTGTACAAAACAATTTGCACATCACAACAAACACGTTGTATATTGATTAAACAATTTAGCTTAATTTGTTTTCAAATCCTTTTTGCCGTTACATCTGTTGGTATTTAGAATTAGATGTGAGCTCTTTGAAATGAATGATACCTCACACAATCCGAAGGAGGTGTCTATAAATAAACGTTGTCATATGAGTCGAGCTCTGGTCGTGAGCAGAATCAGTCCTGATTATGTAGGAGCTCTCATCTGTAATTATAATACAGACGTGGCTCCTGCAGTACGTGTGCGCCTGGTAGGGCGGGGTGGGCAGCGAGCTGCGAGAGCGTATAACAACAAACTCATTCCCGACTGATTGGCCTCATTGTGAGACGAGATCGCGGGATTTTATCTCGTCACGTGCCGACGTTCAATCACGTCGTATTCAATCGAACGACACACACCTACATACATACCTACTACTGTTCTATATTGAGGGCGGTATGACGCGGACCCTTCGATTCAATCGTTGAACTATACCACTTTCAAGATGTTGGTTAATACAGAAAAAAGCTCTGGAATAGATTCAGATAGCCAAATACCGTTACGTTTAGTTGTAAAACGTTGAAGGGAATCATAATAAATAGAGAAATATTATGATAATAGTCCAAGCAACGTTTCATTTACGTATTAAACGAACTATTTTATTCGTAGTTAATGCAAATAATATTATTAGAAAATTTATTGATTCTTATTTATTTATTTAAAATTCTCTACAAATTACATTTTTAAATACTACTTACAAAATAAGAAAAATACCAGTAGCGGGAGCATGGTCAAAGCTACCGGTGGTTAAGGCTCCAGAAACAGAAACGTCCTCACAATACGTGCCGTTTCTAGGAGAACTGCCTTCTGTATCAGGCCCTTGATCCATCCACCTAACGCCAGCCTCCTGAGATGGATGTCGAGGCTTTTAGAGATTAACCCATTGGCCGACACGACTATCGGCACAATGATAGCCGAATCCACATTATGAGAAAATTTTATTATTATTCTGTCCAAAAAATTTAATACCGAAATAAATATATATTTTGATCCTTTTTAACAGCCAACGCAACATAATATTAATAATACTACTTTGAATCGCTTATCTATACAAGTTACAGAAGGCATTTAGGTACCTCTACATCGATCACTACACGTTGCACGGTGCAGGTGTTAGGCACAGGCTAATGAGTGTCGACACACGTGACACCTCGACACGTGTCACGTGCCCGGCAGTGAAGTAGGTACACCTTACTGCTGTGTGCTAACTACTGTTACAAATATTCAGTCATTTACGAAACCAGCACTTTAGATACATTGTGCCTGATATACACTCTATTTCCATCACAATTAAATAATACCATTCGATAAAATAATATTGTACAGATTACAGCTAAACCACACAAAAATCATTATATGAAATGAAACTGTTAAGGATCCCAGATAAGATTTAATTTCGGCAGCGCACTGCCACTGCTAAGACGAACACAATTTAACAAATGAATGAGCCGAAGTAAGATGGCCGCAACTTATTTCTGAAATCGGACCTCAAAGCATTATGACAATATTAACAAGGCGCTGGATCTTTCATCTCTTTAGATAAATATTTCTTCTGTAAGATGTAAAGCCGTTTAATCTTGTAATGTAAGCCTTTACAAATTTAACTTTACCCAAACTTTGACACGAGTAAGGTCAAGTGCTGTTTACCTTTTGAATTTCACAGTCCACGCCCAGCCTGGATAATATTTACACTCTGGAACATTTGCGCAGTGTTCCCCCAACTTGGTTTACACAGCCGACTACTTAGCTGAATTATTCTACTCGGACTTACACAAAAATGTAATTCAAGTAAACCAGCCAATGAAAAGCTCAGACAATAGGTTCAAGAAATTTTCCTTAATCACCTCCGTGCCGGGGCTCGGCCGACAATCTTTGCAAATCGAGCAATTACGGAATTTCAATCAAACATCTTCCCATCACTATAGGTCAGCGAAATGGGACTTTATCACTAGGACATAGAGTTGAGTTTGGGCCGGTGCAGTGGCAAAGGGTAGGTTGTCCGAGTTAAGCGCGTTAAGTTGGGGTACTTTATGAGTACAATGTTAATGTGGTGTAAGCCGGAGCCACTGTCATGTAGATTAGTAGTAATGCGCGCCCAGCGTACAATATAATGTGCTGCTAGTACAGCATCGATGTGACAAATAGAGTTCGTTTTGTGTGAGACGAGTGATCCGTCGCGCACCGCCATTACGTATTTATCTCACATAATCGAGCGGCACTCGACGGGACGTGCTCTTAACCTATAACGCCGCGAGTACGCCGCGTTAACGCAAAATAAAATATGTATTACTAATAGGTACTCTCCGGGCGGCAAATATTGTTATACGCTTCAATAATGAACTCTCGGAGAGTATCAGCACTGTACTTAGTCGACACATGGTGAAATACATAACATTGTATGTAGGTACATCTGTTCGTATTAAATTGAATGTTTTTCGTAGCCCAACATATAAATCGGCACTTTAAATGAAAATCATCAGGCTTTCACACAATTTCCAGTGAGCCCGAACTGTTTGATCCTGGAATAATTTGAGCGAATAAACTGGAATATGTAGTTAACAATGGTGAAATTGTGATGCTGTAGATGTATTCATTTAGTAACGTAGAATATTCAGTTGATTCCAGTAAGTAGCGAATTATTCGAGTCGCAATTAAAGCTGAGTATATCTGCGTCGTATGAATGAAGTGTTTACTGTCGGAGTAGGTCGGCCCGTGATATTAATGCAGCCGCGCTACGCCGGGATGAGTATTACAAACATCTTGGTAAGCGCGCATAAAACTGAAGTGATCGTAAAACGATATCATTTGCTTTGATAATGCTAACGACGCCGCCCGGGCGGGCCCCGGCACTGGCAGAGCCCTCTGTGTCGCTGTGGAGTCAGCACAGATTATCAGACAAACAAACAGATGGACTCGCCATTAACATTTTACTGGGATTACAAGCCTAGGAGCTGTGGGAGCCGATACGAAGAAGATCGTTAGTAATCTCTTAGTGTGTTTCTTCACGTTATCTTCTAGAACTGCGATCGATGTGAACACTGGCTCGATAAACAGCTAACAATTAATAAAGATTCTCAGGTCTCTGGACTTACTAGTCTATTTACTATCTAGAAATATCGATGGCCAAGGAGTTCCAACTTAATATTTCCTACAATACAATATAATGGGAGAAAACACGCGCCGGCCATGAGATAAAATAACAAAGACACACAAACATGGTGGTCCTAAGCAAACGGCGGCAAGTAGCGGCGCGCGTGACATAGACGCGGCGCGGGGCGGCGCCTGCGTAAACATCAACACTGCCATTGTGCCGCGCCAAATTAACTGTTATGCTTTAAGAAAACCGGCGCAAACATGGACACGACACTGACTCACACAGATACCACCGAGCACAATCTACAAGACACAGTACTGAGTTTAATATACTTCGAAACAGGATCATTAATTTAATAGTAATGACAATTTTACGTCCTATATTATTGAAAAACCATTTACCCAAAGTGACAATCAAAGATCTCGCCATTCTTTAGTTACAGCTGGACTCAGTACCAGGATACTATGAAATTAAGGAGCGCGAGGGAGTAACAATTGTGAATTAAATTAAAATTTCATTTTATTACGAGCGATCCATAAAAACAAGTATCGTAAACGTTATCACAACATTTGGAGAATGGCTCGGCGACAGTATTTCTCCAAGTAAATCGTTTAAGTAATCAGTCCGACATAATGCGATCTGTCTGGCTCATCAATACAGCCGGCACGTGTTCTATTCAACGGGGGACTATTGTCATTATACATATATAATTTACTACTCTAACTAATCCTAACTATACATCCGATTGTGATGATGTGAGTAGAGTTAGATAGTAGCATACAGACTTTTTTGCAAAATTAAACTTCAAGGAAGAGATGAATCCCTTCTTCGTTGAATTTATACAAAATTAAAATCCGAGATCTCGCGGGCAAAAGCTACTATTTATATATTTAAATATCTGTATAAAATGTCAAATTAAGGATTCCGTCCAAATAGAAAACTTAGCCGCGTGATTAATTTTGACGTTAAGTAGGTACCTACACAGTAGAAAGTCGGCTTTCTTTGAATTTGGAATTTAACCTTTTATGTATCTACAGAGGTCCTTCGTTACAGGACGGTAATTACAGGCAGAATGAATGTAGGGTACGTTCGCAGGGACTCAATATACCAAGAAAATCTCATTGGATACCTATTCATCAGAGCAGTCGGCCACCTTGTAATTCAACCGCTACATCTATTTACTAAGCATGTTTTATAAAAAAGTCTATTATAAAAGTATCTTACTTCAAAAACTTTAAATAAAATCCAAGTTCGGGGCTGTAACTAAATACTAAGTGAGAGAAATTTTGTGATCTCTTAATCTATCTCAAGTATTTTCCTTTCAAGTAGAAACCAAAATTTTGACTCTTTAAGCTTTCACTGAGCCCGAGATATTGGGATTCACCTGATCTACAACTACATGTTTGATACTTTTATACGCGTTTACTAACTTTAATACTAAGATTTGAATAAGATGTAACAGTAACAAAACAGTAGGTATATGCACTTGCATACTTATGCACCACCATGTCACAGAATTTAAAAAGTAGAAAGTAAGTCTTGTAAGCAGGA